GAAACCCTATACAGGGTCACTATGAGTCGGAATCAACTCGACAGCACTTAACAACAACAACAACATATCCTTTACTGTACAATACCCTCAATCCATTTACTAAGCGGTAACTAGGTATCTATTAAAATGGAACAATCTTAGCTGTGTTGTGCAGTAGAAAGAAACTTAATTGGCGGTACAATATAGAATATGTCAATGAACTTGGAACACCTTTAACCAACTATCAAAGCTACAGCTATGCTACAACTGAAGATAGATTTGTCCTCTGCATTTAGAAATCTAGTGAGTAATTGAAAACCCATAAGTGCCCATCAATAGTCTTAGTGTTGCACTGTGGGTTAATGTGCTGGACAGCACGGTCAGTTTGAACCACAAAGTTGGTGATTCAAGCTCATCAGCCACTCCTCAGAAACCCTGTGCAGGGTTACTATGCGTCAGAACCGACTCCATAACACTTAACAAGAAGAGTGTCCTTGAAGAGTGGTTGATCATCAGATAGCTGTTTTCTAGTAACCCACTTTGTAGGTTTGTGCTTTCCTTTGCATGTGTTATGGGCTGTTGAGTGGGTTCCAACTCATGGAGCCTGTATAGCGTTTCCTAAGAGTGGCTGGTGATTTTGAACCATCGACCTTGCAGTTCAAACTGACCTTTCCGTCCAGTGCATTTTCGCCACAACAGGCTTCTTCCTTTGTTTAGGAACTGCCTTTGAAGTTGGTTGTTGGCCTTAAACTGCTTGAATTTAAAAGTGGGGAGAGTGGTGCTGTTTGCCCTGAGGTTGGGGTGATGCCTCTGGCCAGGTGAGGAAGAAGCTGCAGAGAAAGCAGAAAGAACCAAGATGGAAGTGGAGGGAGAGGTGTGACAAGAGGACATGCATCCTGTTGTCCCCCCAAATTTTCGGGATTTTTTTCTCCTCTGTCTTTATTCTCTAATACCACTTGTAACTGGATGCTGTGTGTTCACTATGTAAAACTGTGCTGACTCAGGTGTGTTAACCATTACCCAGGAGCTAGTTGCATTTGAAAGGGAGGTTGTTTTCCTGGATCTGTTAATTCTCCTCTTTGTATTGTGTTCCCAGTTGGTTCGACTGTGCAACGAAGGAGCCCGGAAGATGGAAAGGACTGAGATGATGTACACAATTAACTCCCAGTTGGAATTTAAGATTAAGGTATTTTGTGTATCTTCTTAAATGGGTTTATTACTTAATTTATTTAAATCTTATATTAAATGAGGAGAGTTGAGGCCAGATTTGCTTTTCCAAGGTCATAAGTCTAGAAGAGCCTGCCAGATGGAGGAACAGATAGTTCATTTCAGGTAGATTAGCTCTTTCTTACCCAGGTCAGAGTGACCTTTCTCCAGGCCATGAATAAAGAATTTAAGCATTATCTAGGAAGACAGTTAAAATAATAGAATTCTTAAATTCTAAAGAGATTTCTTCAGTACTCTTGAATACCTTTTGCCAACAACAACAAAAAGTGGTATCCCATGAGTTGGACCACAGTATTGTGAAGTCAGATAAGGATAGTTCTTTTTTAGTTCGTAAAAAAAAAAAAGCTTGTTAAAAGATAGCTGGTTTCTCTCTCTTCGTTCTTGAGCATCACAGTTACTGTGGGTCTGATAGTGATACTGCTCATGAGTGGTAAGCAGAAGCTCACGTGAACCAGGGCCCGGTGTGCCAAGAGGACGAAAAGGGATAAGGTCAATTGGGAGCCACCTGAAAAGCGACGCTATCTGATAGGTGTTCGGCCATTTTTTTCTAAATCCAGAAGCCATTATAAGAATAAGAGTGATAAACATATCTACATAAAATTTGTTTTAATTTATGATAAAAGAACAAAAGGCTACAGGAAAAGTGAAAATTGAAAAACCGTATTTGTAGCCCACATATGGACGAAGCGTTGATGATATTCCTAATGTATAAAAAGAAAGTGATATAAAAAAAAAATTAAACCACCTTTAGAAAACCGCTATAAAGGAAAGGAGATAAAGATTGACTCAGGCATTTCAAACTATGTTTTAATTCACTCAGAGGAAAATTGCTTATTGAAAATCAGAATGAATTTTGCCTCTTAGATTCCTAATAAGAAAAAGTTTCGATACACGTTTCATTGTAGGGAAAAGACATTGGTACATATTGCTGGTGAAAAAGATTATTTAACCTCAAAGGTGGATAATTTTGTGGCACTTGTAGGATAAGCACTGGACTGCAATGTCGGTTTGAACTTGGAACTCTATACAGGGCCACTCTGAGTTGGAACCAACTTGACAGCACTTAACAACAACAACCGAAACTACAAATGCAAGCTACTATGACCAAAGTGATTTGACTTCTACAAATCTATTTTGTTTATTTTCATCCACTAAAAATCATATGGAGCACAGTTCTACTTTGACACATTTCTACTCTTGAATGTATGAAATATGTATACAAAGTTTATTGTATGCCATTCTTTAGAAATACAAAAGATTGTTGTTAAGTGCTGTGGCATATGTTCTCATTTAGCAACCCTGAATAGGCTTTTCAAGGAGCCACTGGTGGATTTGAGCCACAAGGTCAGTGGTTCAAACCAACCTTGCGATCCAGTGCTTATCCTACAGTGCCACACCAGGACTCCAAAAAAGATTAGGAACAGCCTAAATACTTAACAGTAGAGGACTGATTGAATAGACTGTAATGTTCTTAAGTGTCTTTAAGTTTGTTCTGATTCATAGTGACCCTGTGTAGGGTTTCTGGGGAGCACCTGTTGGGTTTGAACTACCAACCTTGTGTTTTGAAGTCCAGTGACAGTCTTACAGCCACTCAGCTATTATTTTTTTTATGTCAAAAGGGCCATAAATTAAGTGAGATTAAGTGGGGTGGAGGTGTGTTGGTTGGTGAGTGAGTTTGCTTATTGGTGTTTGGAGCCTTCCAACAAATAGAATTCCAAGACACAACAGGCACAATGAAGAACTCTTAAGATGTTAAAAAGTCTTTGCACTTGAGTGTGGCTCCTCTTGTCTTGCTGGCTGATAAAACCTGTAAGTGTTTATGGTGAAGTTAGTTCTCAAAGATGCCAAATACCACAGAAGAGAATTAAAAGTCTCTTTTCTGTAGAAATTATTTCAGTGCTCTTTAGGATTCATTTTTGTGTTTGAAAGTTTATGGCTCACTCTTAGAAAGAAAATCAGAAAGAATTTTGTCTTTTAACAATCAATTCAGAAACAAACATTTTATGATAATGGATTTCCATTTTCCAAAGAAACAACCTATTGAAAGCCACTGGCAATTTTAGGTTGTTTGTTAGAATTTTGTTTTTGCCTTACTGGAGGATGATACTGCCATAAAAATCACTGCTTTAAAACAGTGTAACAAAAACGCCTTTCTTCCTTGTTGACTAAATTAAGAGCAGTCACAGGGCAGGATCCCCAATGGAACTTATCCATAATATGGTCTTGGTTCATCTTGTAGGGTTAGATGCAATACAAGATATACAATGTGTTCCCTCCTGATAATGACACGATTTTGGCAGGATCAAATAACCTGCCACATGGTTCTTTCTGGTGACCCATTGTGTGTGATGGTGGGGTCCTCCAGAATTCCTAAATCTTGTCTGGGTGATGGCCATAAATGTCTCAGCCATCCCTGATGGATAACTGTCTGGTTCAGGATTTTAGAACTGGAAGGTAATTCCATGAAGATCCTTATTAGCCAATTTTGAAAGTTTAAAGTTAACCATAATTTTTTACCTTTCTTTCCAAACCTTTAGGAAAATAATATGTAACTGATCAACAACCTTCCTAGGAGCCCTCTTTATAAAGTTAACACATTAAAAAAATATATGAAATCATATTAATCATATGTAAACATATATGATTCCTTGGTGCAGCCTTTTCTATGAAATAGATAATGATGGATTATTTAAAAAGACCTATTTTGAAAGAATTTGATTTTCACAGCCAGAAAGTGGCATGATACTTTGAGGGATGAAATTTCCAGGAAAAATTATCATAAGTTTTAGAGCAAGTGATCTTAGTCTTCTTGTTTCCTTTCCAATATGTCCAATTTCCTTTAGCTGTTTTTTAATCATTATTTTCTGAAAAGAAGGGTGGTTAGTTATACTACACTACTATGTTTTATGTATCCAAGAACTTTTGCTTCTATTATGGATATAGTTTTGTTTTTTTTCACATCAGATTTTTGGCAGTAAGTATTTCTGATAACTTTAAATAAAAGCGGGGGAGCTCTCAAGCATAAGGATTATTCTGTGGTTTTGAGAGTTTTCCAGTTGGCTGTACAACACTAAATAAAGAAAAACACTATGTGCTTCCTTGGGTACAGCCTTTTCTATGAGATTATGATGAAGTATTTTGGAAGAGCTTGATTTTCACAGCCAGAAAATAGCATGATGCTTTCAGGGATGAATGTTCATGGGGAAAATTACCATCAATTTAAGAACAGGTGTTCTCAAGAATATGACTGAGTATGTAACCAGTAGACAAAACAGAAGTTTGTTTACTGGTTGTTCCCTGACCCCCTTGAATAAATCTTTTTTTTTTTCATAACTGCAATTATGTGTGTGTTTCAGAATGTTTGGATTCTGTCTTGAGATATTTAAAAGAACTGCAGTTGATGCTGAAAGATTTCGTTACTAACTAGGCTGTTCAGTTTTAAGTGAACCCTTTACCAGTCTTCTTTTTCAGTTGAGAATGAATGGAAGAGACCTGGTTTTGCTGCACTCGATAACGTTTTCTCATTGAGTTTTAGTTGTCATGTTGGAAAATGGATAGTTTTTGTATTAGAAATAAATTAATTCTTTTTGCATTTATTCCTGGAAAAGACACTACACTTCTCTGATGTATTTAATTTTATACCCTTGTTCCCCTGAGTGGTACAAATAGTTAATGGGTGTGACTGCTAAGTGAAAGGCTGGTGGTTTGAGTCCGCTCGGAGGTACTTGGAACGAAAGGCCTGTTGGTCTAGTTCTGGAAAATCTGCCGTTGTAAACCAGACCGAGCACAGTTCTACTCTGATACACATGCAGTCACCAGAGTCAGAGCCAACTTATGGCAACTCACTGATTTATTTAATCATCATGTTTTTTATTATTAGTTTTGCAGCTACGAAATAATAGTGCATACCATAACATATATCATTTGTTTTGATGTAAGTTTATAGTCTACTTTTGATAACCACATAAGGACTTTAATTTGGCCTTGGGAGTTGAGCTTTTCTCTTTTTGTAGCCCTTTCCTCTAGTCTCCTCTTCCCGGTGGTTGGTAAAGAGAGGTGAATTGACTGCCTACGTAGAAGATACTGTGCTTTTCTCAAAAAGGACATCCAAACAGCAAGTCTACTTCTTTCTCTTTAACGATGTTCTCATTATCACCAAGAAGAAGAGGTAAGCCTTCTTATGCAGTTGCGAGTTACACATCTCAGTTTTACAGTTTTGGAATTCAGATGCCTGTTGGCAGTGATCATCCTTTAAAAGTTAAAGATTTCACATATATGGTTTCTATCATTCAATCACAGTAGCATCTGTGTTTCATGTTCACTTGTAATTATCTATACAGTATTATGTAAATTAGCAGCATAGCATCATTGTAGCTTCCTCTGTTGAACTTTTTACAGTGTGCAGGCCACTGTTTTCATCATTTTATATCACTCAATTTTCATGACTTCCCTGGCCATGTGTCCCAATCAGTGCTTTTGAACATATTTCTGCCATAGAACCTTTGTGTAAAACAGGTAACAGTTGCTCTTATCAAGGACACAGTGGGGATGATTTCTAGGACACATTGTAGCTTAACTTAAAACCCATTGCTCTTTAACGATTATTAAACTGAAAAGTTTCCTCATGCCTTGGAGAGTGTTGGGCATATTCTGAAGAGAATAAAGTAAGCCAGTTGGCTGGCAAAGTGTCTGTTCTTCCTTCAGAATCCTGGTTTTGTATTCATGTCCATCTCTAGGGAGAAGTCCAGGAGGAATACTGTATAAGGCCTTCCTTTACATAGTTTGTTCCCTCCTGTTGTCCTAACTCTCTCAGTGAGCACACACATACACACACACCCTACACACACACATACACTTGCACTCCTTATCTCTGCCTTGCTCCAGGGACCATTCTTAATAAATATATAAACTCAATATGTATAGGGTTGTAAAATATTTTACTGCTTGTTCTTGCTGTTAAGTGCCATCCATTCGGTTCCGATTCATGGCAACCCTGTATAGGATTTCCAAGGAGCGGCTGGTTGGTTTGAACTGCCAGCCTTGTGGTTGAAGCTGACCTTGCAGTCTAGTGCTTTATCCTATAGCGCCACACCAGGACTCCTGTTTTCCTGCTGGTCCTACATAAATATTGCATCTTTCCTAGAGTATGAACTTAGAGTAAAGACATAAATCTGTAGAGTGTTATTTCTACCAATAGAGGAAAAGATTGAGGAGAGCAAGGGTGTTTGATGAAAAATCTTTTAGGTAAAATGAAGTGAAATGGAGACACAGAGCTTCATGAAAATACAAATGTCCACATTTACCATGAAATATTTATTTAACTGCTGCTTGTGAGTTGATGTCTCTTTGGCTTAAAAATTCTCACTAAATTAAAATAAAGGCTGAGCTTTTTACTTTTTGTGCCTTTTAATCAGACCACATTATGAACTGTTTCAGCTCCTTGGCTGTGTAGCTGAAATGAAAAACTTTGTTTGACCTACTCTGAAAAGTCACTGTGTAATGGAGAGAGATCGCAGCTGAGGACTCTAGACTCATGGAAAGAGAAAGGCTGTGTGCCGGCAGCCAGATGCTGGTGGCCAGGGAGCAGGCTTCAGAATGTGTCCTTTGGTTGTTTAAATGAGTATATATTCCTGAGTGATTTTGTGTACATCACCCCCAAAAAACAAAACAAAAAGCAGAAGGAATAGAAGCAAATCCTGTTGAATGATGATGCACAGAGGAGATTGTAATCATTGCAATGGAACAATGAGTGTAAAACTGATATTCCCCCATGTAAACTAATCACTCAATTCACAATAAAAACTGAAAAAAAAAAAGCAACAGATGATCCCAGGACCATCATTCAGGAAAAGTTTGAGTGGAGCATGGGATCCCTGACTGGAAAAACAGTGACAGCAGAGATGACAGCAGAGGTGGTGGCATCAAAAGATAGAATAGCTAGGGACACTAGACCCATTGACTGAGTAAGGCTGTTAGCCTGTGGGCAGACACCTAGTTTGCAGAATGTTCCCTTTGGCCATCTAAATGAATATATGTTTTGTGTTTTGTTTTGAATGTGTGCATCAAATAGTTTTGCTTTGTTCGTTTGTGACATAAGAGATATAAATGGGCCAGTGCATTTTAGGTTGTACGTGTTTTAGTTATATCATGTTAGGTGCCAGTGTGGGTTTACAATTTTCTTTATTTAGATATTATGCAAATAGTTCATAGGTTTTGAGTTGACAAGGGTGTACAATAACAGTTAAGGTTCTATGTCACCTTGACAAGGCCAGGAATTCCAGAAGTTAACAGTTAAGATGTGCTTTTATATGTATTTTGCTATTGTAAACCCTTTCCTTGATAATAAGCTTCTCCCTCTCTTTCACTATTAAAAAAACAAACAAAAAAAGTCACTGTGTAAATTTTATTATGATAAATACATAAAGGTGATTGTGATGATTTTTCGCAGTTAGGAAAATAGGATTTTCATCTCAACAAGGAGGAAAGGAATTATTTCTCATACCTGGGACGATCTAAGTAACATCTATAGCTAAGCACATTTTATAAATACTGAAGAAGAATTACAATTTTTGTGTTGATTTCCTGATTTTTTTGAAGATACTTTGAGGGAGAGGGTAGTTATATATTTCTCATCAAATACCAGAATTCTTGACTTTTAACATCGTCTTGCTGTTAAAAAATATTTGTTCTGTCTTGATTTACCAAATGCTTCAAGTAAACTTCTGATTTTAATGGTAGAATATACATTCATTTCACCAAGAAATATTTAAGCTTAAAGGTATTTTGATCATGATGTCTTCAGTGATGTTGTTAAAAGCACTATGGGCTTAATACAGCTTAATACAACTTTATACCTGCTTAATACAACTTTTATTCTTGAACTTTTACAGAGCTACCTAGTAAATACAGACTTTGAAAGTTTGAATGGAAGTATAAGCTATTCTACTTAACAGCATTTTTTGCCCTAAGGGACATTTGGCCATTATATTTAATGTTACTTTCCTAGCTGTCCCAGGTTTCTTCACTATTTCTGGTATATCTAAAATTGTATTATCAATCAAAGAAAGATCCAGATAGTCAACTCCCATTGAGAGGGCAATGTGAGTGCCTAACTTTGCCTTTACCAAATTTGGGATTTCCTTGTCTTTACTAAGCTTCTCATCCTATTTCTAGAGTGCTCTTAACTCAGGAAATAATGTTGGAGACTTAAGTTGTTTATGACCTGAATATGTGGTGAGGGTGACAAACAGACCACAAAGGGCTGACTGATAAGCAGGCTTGTTAAAAATGTACAGTATGCACAGTCATATTTACATGATTGCTTCAAGGAGACAACTGCAAATGCTTTGCATGCCAGAAGTAGCAGCGAGTAGATGCAAAAGTTTTGAGCAAGGCAGTAATTTAGGTTTGGCTATGAGGTAAAGATAAAGGATAATTACCTGTGCCAGCTCTGGAGGACTGTTCTAGCCACCCACTGCCTAATTGTAATTCCAAGCTCCGGTTAGGGAGCTTATGTGCTGAGTCTCCAGTGGTTTTCAGCTTCAGGGAGGCTTCCCAGCTACCGGGAGAGGCTAATTCAGGAGGATACTTACTCATCCTCCCCCTGATATGGAGTAGCAGATGGTTTATACTGAACATTTTCCCAGATTCCTGGAAGATGTGGCCAACTCATCTTTGCAGTACATGAAGGTGCTGATAATACTTGCAGGGCTGATGTTGATTCGTAGCCATGAGGTTGTCTTTCATGACAAGAATCTTCACCTTTATATAATATCCAGAGGAAGTTTTCAGGAGCTCTGGGCTGCCTCTGAGTCACCGCATTCATAGCCTGCTCTATCAGATTTCAAAAAGATACATGGCCAATTTGATTACTTTGGATGAGAAAGTGAATTCTTTGGTTTTAGAAGCGTTAACTGCAAGATACATGGATACTATTAGATCAGGGCCACCCTTGGCACTTTTAACATGTAGTCTAGATAATTTGTTTTATGAGACTGTCCTAGCCATCAGAGAATGTTTAGCATCATCCCTTGCCTATACTTATTATTAATCAGTAGCATTCCCCAGTTGTGATAAATAAAAATGTCACCAGGCATCACTGCCAAATGTTCCCTGGAGTGGGTACAAAGTTGACCCTCAACTGAGAATCATTGTACAAGAGTGATGGCCAATTATAGACCAGTTTTACCATCAGAACAATAAAATGTGCAGTTGATCAGACCCAACACAGCAACATAGTAACACTGTAACATAAAATTAATAGATTATTACTTTATATGCTGTGGGTTAATGTGCTAGACTGCACGGTCAGTTTTAACACTAACTGGGCGATTCAAACTCACCAGTCACTCCACGGAAACCCTGTACAGGGTCGCTATGGGTCAGAACCAACTTGACAGCACTTCACAACAATAATAAATAATAACTTAATGTAGTCTACTTATATCTAACAGTAACTTTATAAAGACTTATCCATTATGGTGTGAACATTACACCCACATAAAAAGCCTTATGTGTTAAATAGTATTGGCATTATTGAAATGAGAAAATTGAATGCAGGAGCCAAATACAGTAAATCCTGTAAAAGTCAGGACCTGTGTAATGTAGAAATCTGTCAGAGAAGGAAAACCCAGTTCGTTTCCACTAGTTAGAATCATGGTAAGACTGCTTCCTGTCAAAAGTGGAAAATTTTTGAGACCCAAAAAAACAAGACAATCCCATTGCGTTCCAGCTCTTAGAGGATTCTCTGTATGTTCAGACTCTCAGAAGACTGTATAAAGTAAATAACTGTCTTATTTTCATTTAGTGCATCTCTCATATCTGGCCAGTCTTCCCTTCCAGTTTCTTCTCAAACTAAAAACAAAGTCTCCCAGCCAGTCCATCACCATTACCATACATAAGTGAGAAACACGCTTTAAGTTTGTTCTGAATCACACATTTTTTAAAACATTAATTTATGCCATTGTTTATAGATTTCTAAATGTCATTAGGTTCAGGTGACTTGAAGACCTCCATTTGGGTACCTCATAGATCACCTCCATGTCTTACTCTTCTTCAAACCTGTTCCTTCCCTAACACTTGCTCCCTCCTCAATAAGGCACCTCCACATACCCAGCTGCTCCAGGGTAAGACTGATACTTCTCCCTTTTCCTTATCACACCTCAATCA